GCTTGAGCCCAGGAGTTGGAGGTTGCTGTGAGCGTGATGCCATGGCACTCTACCCAGGGGGACAGCTTGAGGCTCCATCTCAAAAAAAAAAAAAAACAAAAAAAAATTCCTGAGTTCTACTGCACTCACTCCAACATCGAGCTAAACTGTGTGGTTCAGACAGACAGCTGAAGCAGAAAGTGTGGAAGTCTGGGTCAGAACACCATGCTCAGCACCAAAAATTCAAGAGTAGTTATTTTATCATTTTTCTACATTTTTCTTAAAATTGTGATTGAGATCTTACTAGTTATAAAATAAAACTCTCCACTTTGTATTTACTTTCTATGAACACTTTGCTGCATGCATCTCTCACTGTCCTGACATAGTAAGAGGATCTGTCAGGGATGCTGGCTTGGGGATGTCAGGCTCCTGAGTGCTCAGCCACTGGAGACCGTTATTCCAAGGACCCTGCCCCCTTGCTAGGTTCTGTTATTTATAGATAGGATGAAAATAAACCTTGCCCAAGATAATTGTGGGGAAAATGTGAAATGCCATGAGGTACCTGTAAATTACAAAGCTCTAAATAAATAGTAGTCCTCATTAATATAATTAAAATTAATCAGAAGGCATTTACTAGTTTATTGTAATGAAATAAAAAACTGCAAATAGGATTCACTAAGATAAGACGTGCCTCAAGTGTCACTGCAGAGTTGACAAGAAACAGGTTCACCAGAAACCATTTCAGGACCATGATAGGCCAGGACAGATCAGCACAACACTGAAAATCCTGAGATGTCGCAAATAAAATACTAAGAAGACATCTTAAATGCACCTTGCAACAAGTAAGGAACTACCAGTTACAAATCCTGCGTTAATGTTAGAACCCAAAACAATGAGCAGAGATGTTCTGTAGCTTTTGCTCAAGAACATTTGCCACGTGAGGAGACCACCTGCTATGGTCCTTGGGAACTCACAGGGTGCAGGAGACAAAATACAAGGCCTAGAGCCCACTCTCAGTGGGAACCGACAGGAGAGCCCTGTGCTGCCCTCCAGGTGCCATTCTAAAGGGAGACCCCATCACCATAAGGTACCCCAAGTCTGCAAAGAATGTGCCTCCCTGCTTCCTCCAAGGGGGTCTATGAGGAAATCACCTGCCTAAAGCCTCAGTACCTGTGTCAGGGATGGAAAAGGAGAAACAGGTTTAGAGACCAGATGGACATTACCTGAGAGAAACTAGAGCCTCAAACCATAAGCCAAGTGCCACATTCTGATGGCACAAGCTCAGCAGAAGATCCTACCTTCACCCTGGGCCTCAAAGAAGGCCCACAAGAAGAACCCACCTGAAGCCACAAACAAAACAGATGCAGCATATTTCAGGGACTGAAATTTCCAGATATAGACAAATAACTGTTCACTATGTGAAGCCTGAAAACAAGAAACTATGAACAAAGACCAGGCAGATTTGAGAACCTCTAAAAATAAAAAATAAATAATAATCAAGAAAAAATTCAATGGGCAACCTTAAGAGCAGATTAGACCTAACCAAGGGAAAAATGGGAGACAGAGTGGAAGACATTACTGAGAAAGCAGAGTGATGAGATAAGAATAGAAAACAGACGGTGCTCAAAGACTGGGAGCAGGGAGGAGGTGGGCAGAGGCAGACCCTAAACAACCATGGCTGGTCATCTAAACTGGTGACAGGTCAGCTGCAGGATCAAGAAGCCACCAAATCCCAAGCCAGAGTGTCACAGTGCAACTGCTAAGCACCAAAGACAAGGTCCCCAAAGGCATCAGAGGGAGAGAAAGGCAGCCATGCAACAGACATCTTTTTCTCATCAGCAACAAAAGCAGACACCAGGGAACAATATTGTCGACATACTAAGAAAACAAATGTCAACCTAGAGTCCTATACTAAGCAAAACTATCTTTCAGGAAGGAAAGTAAAATACAAGCATTCTCAAACACTAATGGAAATCCCAAAGGATGGCCAAGTGGAAGACACGTCACCTCACATAAAAAGGACAGAACGCAAATGCACAACAATAGCAGTATCTAAGCTAAGATGGATAAATGGAGCCACCATGTACCCAGACCAGCATTGAAGAACAGGCAGGGAAAGCATTAACACCACACTCTGATAACATAAGTGTGTGGGGAGATTTAAGGGTAACCAATTAAAGAACAGAAAGAGAACTGACAGGTTTCAAACTAACAGAGGTGTACAAACAGAATGACGCCTGTAGCTCAAGCGGCTAGGGCGCCAGCCACATATACCAGAGCTAGCAGGTTCAAATCCAGCCCAGGCTCGCCAAACAACAATGACAAGTATAACCAAAAAATAGCCAGGCATTGTGGAGGGCGCCTACAGTCCCAGCTACTTGGGAGTCTGAAGCAAGAGGATCACTTAAGCCCAAGAGTTTGAGGTTGCTGTGAGCTGTGATGCCATGACACTACCCAAGGCGACAGCTTAAGACTCAATAATAAGGCTTGGCGCCTATAGCTCAACCAGCTAAGGTGCCAGCCACGTACACCTAAGGTGGTGGGTTCGAATCCCCAGCCCGGACCCGCCAAAACAACAATGAC